AAATGAGGTCATTATAGTGGGCCCTAATTTGATGGGTGTCCTTATTAAACTGGGAAATTTGGACATTAACACACATGTAGAGGGAGGAGGTGACCATCTACAAGCCAGGGAGAGGCCTGAAGATGATCCTTCATTTGCAGCCCCCTGGTCAACTCTGCCAACAACTTGATTCTAGAGTTTAGTCTTCAGAATTACCAAAAACAAAAACAAATTGGCTCTTTGCCTCATTTTTTTCAAATAGCTGTTTTATTTACCAGCATTGGAAATTATCTTGTTACTCATCATTTGCCCCACCTCACTAGAACATAAGTTCAATAAATTCAAGAAGCTTGTCTTTCTTGTTCACTGCTGTATTTCCAGTGTCTCAAGTGAGCCCAATATATAAATATTTGTTGAATGAATATATAAATGACTGGTCTTCTTTGGACTTAAAATGGCAACGATTTTAATTTATAGACTATCGTTCAAAAGACTACATTATAAAGCATGCATTATTAGCAGTTTTTTTACTGTTTAGTTACGAGGATACACTGAAAAAAAGGATGGAGAAATGTAAGAAGGAGCATACAAACTAGTAATAATCAACCTTTAATTATGGAGGTATAGGGGTGGTGAAACCCCAAGAAATTGTTAGCCTTAGGGCCATGAAGTGGCTGAAATTGATGAGGCTTCCTGGAGTGGGCTGGAGTTCTATCACCATAAAGTTTATGGAAAAGTGATGAAAATTTAGTTTATTTAAATATGCTAATTACTTTGCATTGTGCATAGCTTTGATTAGAAGACAGCACACTTGAGGCTCCCATTGAAATCAGACAGGGCCAAGCTTATGTAGATATTGAACACTGGTTTACCTTGTTAATGCATACTGGTTTCTTTTTGAAAGACTGTTATCAATGTCATTACAATCTTCCTTGGCTTTACATCAATATTGAGTAGGGTGTATATGAAAAAAGAAGGCTAGAAAAACCAAAGAATCACATATGAAGAACCAAATGAATGAATATACTAAGACATCTGTAGAGTGTGAAAAACTACTAATTTCAGCAAGGAAAAAATTGCATATTTAAAAATGGAAGAGATAGGTGCTAACTGTGAGGATTCCAGTAGACTTGTCTAGGCATCACTCTAGTAGGGTCTAGAATAGGAGGTTTTATTTTTATTTATTTATTTATTTTTATTTTTAAAGATAAAGAACGAAAACACATTGACAAACAAACAGACATAAACAAAACAACACCCAAACAATAGAAGCAATACAGAGTTTCAGACAAGGTGATAGGAAATTAACAATAGTTATCGTGTTACATATTGCTATCTTCAAACTGGTTACTCAGTTAAACAAATATAGGCATTTAAGATTGATCAAACAATTAAACATTGACTGTTCCTTTCAATAAAGCAATAGAAGGCAGTAGTACTACTCTCTCAGTTATCCTGTGTGTATATAGGTAGAGAAGAGGAGGTTTGAAAACTACCAGTTGAATACCCTCGCAAACCCTGAAAATTAGTCACTCTTATCTTGATGCACTCCGTTGTAAAAGGAGATGAGATAGGCAGACAGAGTTGGGGATAATAAACCTTGCAGTGAAGGCTTTCCTTAAGTGATTGCCTTAGTCACCTTCTTGTTGCTGAAACATAATACCTTATCCCCTCAACTTAAAGACAAGAGCTTTTACTTTGACTGTTCTAGCTTATAGAGAGCTGGCTTCAAGGTAGGACAGCACGGTGAGGGGCATGGCAGATAAGAGCTGCTCATGGTACAGAGACAGGGAAGCAGAAAGAGTAAAGAGTGGAGCCACGAAGAGAGAGGAGCCTCTTCCAACCAGGTAAGTCAGCTGTAAACCCATACCCCATCGCCTTCCTGCAGCCCCACCAATGAGTGCAGGAGGCTCTTGGGGACGTCCAGATAACACACCATAACATTCTGCCCATAACTCCCGAAAGACTCATGCATATCTCTTCATGCAAAATGCATTTAGTTCATCTATAGGAGTCGCCAAAATTTTCAAACTTTCAGTACTGCTGAAAAGTCCAAGTCCAAAGCCTTCTTTGAGACTTAAACTTTTAACTGTGAACCCCTGTAAAAATCAAGACATAAACCCTGCCAACATACAATGGCAGAGGGTAAACCTTCCCTTTCCAAAAGGGAGGAACAGGGGGATAGAAAGGAAGAAGACCAAAGCAATACCAATCCTACAGGGCAAACGTTAAATCCTGTAGGTCTGTGTTCAGTGCCCATGGCAAGGTGTGGTGAAATATGAACCCCAAACTTGGGTGGTCCTGCAGTACTGCTTGTGGTTGTAGCCATCTTGGCTTCTCTCTTGGGCTGACTTTGCTCACTCCTTGTAGCTTTCCTCAGACGTTCCAGTATCCTGGTTTCTCCAAATTTCTTTGGGTCTCCACTGCACTTTCAGCTTCATGCACTACCCTGTCAGGGGCACCCTGCCTAGCCTCCCAGGCTGCCTTCTAAAATCTGGGTGGAAGCCTCCTGACTGGAAAATGCTTGTATTCTGCATGCCTGTAAAACCAGTACCACATGAACGATGTTAAGGCCTTCCACCAGCTCTGCTCAAGCAGTAGCTTGCTTGTGTCATGGCTACAGTCATCTCTCAGTTGCCTGGATGGCTATTATGAAATGGACTCAGTGGAGCACATTCCCCAAGTGTTTTGGAACATGGGGCCTTGGGGCTATCACCTCAAAGCAGTCTTTCTCTTTTGCTGTTTACAGGAAAGGGTAGGGCCTTGCTAGTTCCTCACATTCCTTCAAAGAATTTTCCCAATGCAAAGCACTTGGCTTCTTTTGCTCCATCTCTGATGGTGCTTTCTTTCTGGCAAATCTGAAAACCTTTAAAATGGACCTTTTCTCCTGATTTTTAGTATAAACTTGGTTAAAAGCCCTCAAAACTATTCATGCCACAGCTCCAACGTTGGGGTGCTTTGAAATTTCCTCCAACAGGTTAATTAGCTTGGTGCCTTGTACAAATCTCAGTCTCCTGCAAGGTCTCAAGACATAAGTAAAATGTAGACAAATTTTCTGCCAGAGTATAGCACATTTGGTCTGCACTCCAACTGCCAATGGAGGCCTTGTTCCCAGCTGAAACTTCCTGAGCCTAGTCTTTCCCATCTGCATTTCTGTGGGCATTCTGGTCTTCTGAGCTCTGATCAGAGTCACCCAGCAAGTTTGGCTCACAACATCCTAGGGCTCCTTCTTCAGTCACATCTCTAAACTCCCATTAATGTGTACCAACAACTTCTGAATCACATGGTTAGGTACAGTCACAGCAGGGACCCTGCTCCTGGCATCAAAATGTGTCTTACTTTTCTTGGTGTTGTGACAAAATATTTGACACCCAAACTTTAAAGAGGAGAGGTTTATTTTGGGTCATAGTTTGTAGAGGTTTTAGTTCATAGTCAACCAGCTCCAAGGCAGAATGGCATGAAAGAAGGTCCTGGGCAGAGGAAAACTGCTCATCTTATGGCACCCAGGAAGCTGAGAGAGTCTTAGGAGGAGCCAGGAAGGGAGATAGGCCCTTCCAGTTCACATTCACAGTGACTTGCCTCTTCTGGCCAGCTCCTACCTAAAAAACAAGTGTGCTACACACCCTTGTTATCCAGTCACTTTCCAGATACATGAGGCTTTGGGGGCCATTTTAGATCTATCCCACAACAGTGCTTAATGTCTACCTGCAGAACTAAGCAGGGATCTGATCCCAGATTTTTTAGCGTAATAATGGAGACTTGAAAGGCAGAGATGCCAAGCTTTATCATGCTTTAAGGTAGCCATTTGGTACTTGCAGGTACAGTCTCCATGTTCCTCCTACAAATCCTCCCTCCTCTTAGTTTATCACTAAACTTTGTTTGTTTGTTTGTTTGTTTTTTGTGTATTTGTTTTTTGTGCTAGGAATCAAACCCAGGGCCTTGGACTTGGCAGGCAGGTGCTGAGACGCTGAGCTATATCCCCAGCCCAGTGCCTCAGTCTTGAGGGAACAGAACGTTGACCAATCTAACTTTTCTGTCAAGGTAATAAATTAGTATGAGAGGGGAATAATCTGAGTTTTGAGTTTCTGAAATGCCTGCTCCTAAGCCTAGGACGCTTAAACAAGCTTAGGAAGTACAGATATAGATAACCTCGGGCAACTTACGTTATATCCTGAAATTGCGGTTTTCTTAAAACTACAACTTTAAAATTACAATTTTCCTTGATTATTTTTAGGTCTTTAATACTACCTCAGTAGGGTTAAGAATACCACATAGAAGGTGTGGAAATCACTGACTTAAGCAAAATGTGTGGAAGATGCTGCCAAGACGGTCACGAGAAAAGAACTACTTTTTTTTGTTTGTTTGTTTGTCTTTTTGAGACAGGGTCCCGCTATGCAGACAGGGCCCCATGTTCCAAAACACTTTGGGAATGTGCTCCACAGAGTCCATTTCATAACAGCCATCCACGCAACTGAGAGATGACTGTAGCCATGACACAAGGTTGGCCTTGAGCTCACTTTGTAGCCCAGGCTGGTCTTGAACTCCCAAGGATCCTCCTGCCTCAGCCTCCCGAGTGCTTGGATTACGCCACCACGCGCGGCGTAAGAACTGTTGTTTTTGAGCGGGGAGGAAAAATGGTTACTGAGTTCTGGCCGTTGCCATAATTAGGCTGGATTAGGGATGGGGACACCTAGGATACTGCAAGGGTCGGTCCAATGACAACCGGAACGAGGTGGGCTAGGGAGGAGGAACGCGGGTTAGGTTTCTGCCTCATAAACTAAGAGGTAGATTTTTTTTTTTTCAGGGCAGCCTTGTTGAAAAGAGATGGCGGGATGCATAACAGAGGAGGGCAGACCCTGGCAGGAACGGAGGAGCCCAAGCCTGGCGCTGGGGAAGAGCCCGCCACCTGCGGATGGAGGTCTTCTGGAAAGAAGGACGGCTCTGTTGCCAGGCAACCCAGCTCGGGCCCGCCTCCCGACCGCGTTGCTAGGAGACCGCGAGCCGGGGGAGGGCGCGGAGCGGCCCTACGTGCTGACGCTAATTGTATATGAGCGCGAGCGGCGGGCTCTCGGGTCTTTTTTAGCGCCATCTGCTCGCGGCGCCGCCTCCCGTCCTCCCGCCGCCGCGGCCGCCTGAGTCACTCCCTGCGCAGCTCGGGCCCCCGACACCCCGAGCCAGCCGCTGGTAACGACCGGGGGGCCGGCGGGGAGC